TCGTGCCAGTGTGCATCCCGTGGGCCTGTTTGGCACCTTTTTCCCCCAGGACCCGCACAGGCAATCGCTTCAACGAAAAAGAGCCCCTCAGCTGCTTTCTTCGCGCATCTGTCAGGCACACGGCTCGAGGACCCGATGCGACCGCTGAAGCTTTACGACACTGTTTTGCTCTCTGCCAAGTTCCTTGAGTCCGGGGAAGATGTTTGTGCGAGGGGTATGGATGTGAATTTAAAAGTTACTACAGTATACTATATTACTATAGCTAGTATACAGTATACTAATAATATATTATATTCATATTAATGTGAACCACCCGGCGGCCTCCTTGGCCCAGAACTCGCGCTCGGCCAGCTTCTTCGGCACCTGGGGGCCACTCGAAGCTGGGGCAATCTTGGCAGTTCTGGCCCGCACAAAAAGGCTGAGTAGTGCGGAACAAAATCGAAATGCGAGACGCGGGAAGTGGCAGACATTGGCCGGTTGGTGCCCCTCTGAGCGTGCCCTCATTTCCCGCCTCGCGCGCAGCCTCGAACTCTGCCTCGCGGTCGTAAGGGTACTCCTGCCACTTCGAGTTGCGCAATCCGGAGCAAAGAACCCTCCCCCGGAAAGCAGGAGAGAGCCCAAGTACAGCTAATGTCCTTCACCAGATCCTGCATCTGCTGGACCAGGATCTTCTTGGGGTTCTTGAAAGCCCATCCTCAGCCGACAGTGTCATCTACACTGCTACACTTCTCCACTGCGTGGTCGCCATACCAGCCAGGCAGCCAGTATGTGCATCAAACTTCGCCTTGAACCCAAGGGACGATCGACAAAATCACGGCAGGCGTCTACATCCCGGGCCTTGAGATCGAAGAAGGCCTCACGGGAGATGATGACCTCAGGACAGGAGTCCCACCGATCCTGCTCAACGGCGCCTCAAACTCCCAAAGCTCGGGTGCCAGGGGCCAGGCTCGTCGGCCCAGCAAGGCTTGGTGCAGCCCGTCGCTGTCCGGATCCATGTCGCCTGCCACTCCCGTCTTCCACGATTCAGGAAATCATGAAAAGACATGCCCGGGCGGCGAGGGCGTCGCATGGAGAAATTCTCAATCAGACGCCCGGCCATGTACAGCGGACTCCTGCGACAGGGGTGCTGCAGAGCAAGAAGTCCAAACTAGGAACTAGACCAGTCTGGCTTGAGACCTGGCCATGAGGCAAAAGGACGGTACCATCTAAAGGGACTCCAGCCATCGAAACCCCGAGACCCCTCGTGGCAAATCTGACCCCCGACGCCTGAAGCTCGCCTTGGTCGGAAGGCACCAATACTTGTGCTCCTGCAGGCGGCAATAGGCGCTGGTGGCGCACATCTTGAGGTATTCGACGACAGCAGGAACGAGGACACAGTCTCAGTGGCGATCATGATGACGATGATGATGATG